GAAGACTAGCTGAAGAGAAGTCTTATAACCAAGGATTTACAGAAGAAGCTACACCGAGACAGGCAGGAGCCACAAAAGACCCCAAATAGGCAAAGCAATCTTAAGAAAGAAAAAGCTGGAGGAATCATGCTACCAGATATCATAGTAATCAAAACAGCATGGTACTGGCATAAAAATAGACAAAGAGCCCAGAAACAAACCCACATCATTATGGTCAATTAATATTTGACAAAGGAGGCAAAAACATACAATGGGCTAAAGATAGTCTATTCAATAAATGGTGTTGGGAAAATTGGACAGATACCTGCAAAAAAAATGAAACTACACCACTTTCTTACATCATACACAAGAATAAACTCAAAATGGATTCAAGATTTAAATGTTAGACTTGAAAGCATAAAAATCCTAAAAGAAAACATAGGCAGTAAAATTTGGATATTTCTTGAAGCAATATTTTTTCTGATGTATCTCCTCAGGCAAGGGAAACAAAAGAAAAAATAAACAAATGAGACTGCATCAAACTAAAAAATTTTGCACAGCAAAGGAAACCATCAACAAAATAAAAAGAAAACCAACTAAATGGGAGAACATATTTACTGATACATCTGATAAGGGGTTAATATGCAAAATTTATAAAGAACTCATAAAACTCAACACCAAAAACAAACAAACAATCCAATTTAAAAATGGGCGAAGGACTTGTATAGACACTTGCCCAAAGAGAACATACAGATGGCCAATAGATATATGAAAAGATGCCCAACATCACTAATCATCAGAGAGATACAAATTAAAACCATAATGAGATATCACCTCACCCATGTTAGAATGGCTATCATATCAACAAACAACAAGTGTTGGCAAGAATGTGGAGAAAAGGGAACCCTTGTGCACTGTTGGTGGGAATGCAGATTGGTGCAGCCACTGTGGAAAGCAGTATGGAGTTACCTAAAAAAATTAAAAATAATTGCCTTATGACCCAGCAATTCCACTTCTGGGAATATATACCAAGAAACTCAAAACACTGATTCAAAAGAATATATGCACCCCTATGTTCATTGCAGCATTATTTACAATAGCCAAGATCTGGAAGCAGCCCAAGTGTCCATCAGTAGATGAGTGGATAAAAAAGTTGTGGTACATTTACACAATGGAATACCACTCAGCTATAAAAAAAGAAGGAAATCTTATCCTTTGTGACAGCATGGATGGACCTGGAGAGCATTATGCTGAGTGAAATAATCCAGTCTGAGAAAGACAAATACCATATGATTTCACTCATATGAGGAATCTAATAAAAAAAATGAACTAACAAGCTAAATAGAGACAGATTCATAGATACAGAGCTTGCTGACAGCTGTTGGGCAGCTGGGGTGGAGGGATTGAGAAAAAGGGAGTAAAAACTCATGGACAACAGTGTAGTAATTGCCAGGGGGAAGGGGCTGGTGGGTAACAGAGGAGCGTATAGGGGGAATAAATGGTAATGGATGGAGACTTGACGTGGGGTGGTGAACACACACTATAGTGTACAGATGACATGTTGTGGAATTGTGCACCTAAAACCTGTATACTTTTGTTAACCAGTGTCACCCCAATAAATTCAATAAAAAGGAAATTTTTTTAAAAAAAAGACAATATTGTTAAGACGTCAGTACTACGCAAAGTGATCTACAGATTTAATGCAACCCCAATAGCATTTTATGCAGATACAGAAAAAAAATCCATCCTAAAATTCATATGGAATCTCGAGGAATACCAATGGTCAAAATAATCTTTAAAAAGAGGAACAAAGTTTGAAGTCTCACATCAAGCATCAGACTACAGTGATTTCCTCAACCATCTCCTCAGTCACTTTGCTGAACAAATTCAATTATCTCTGCAACTGTGGTTGCCTATTTCTAGAAAAGATTCTTGCTACTGCCAGCTCTGCAACCATTGCTTTCAGCAGCTATCCTCCTTATCTCTACAAGAATATTTGATGAGGGTTGGCTTTGTCTGATATTAACATAGCCACCCCAGCTTTCTTTGATTCCTGTTAGCATGGTATATCTTTACCTCTTTTTTACTTTTAACTTATTTGTATGCTTATATTTAAAGTGGGTTCCTTTTATGTAGCATATAGTTGGGTCTTGCTTTTTTTTAATCTAATCTAACAATCTCTGCCTTTTATTTGCAACAGCCACTTTGTAGTCAACTGCTTTTTAAAAAGAAAAAAAAAAGCCGTTCTTTCTACACCTAGGAATTTTTTTCTCTAACACAACATTTAAAAAATAGTTGTCATTCCTTACATAAATTTACATGGTGACAACAGGGGGTTAGGAAATGTGGCAGTACCCAGCAAGGATGCCTGGGATATGAGATGGGGCAAATTAGAGACAGTGAAAACTGCCACTAGCCTTTTGCAGTAGTTTAGCTGGTATACACAGGACCTTCTTCAGGGTCTTCAGGGTCCTCTGAAGAAGGTCCGTTCTACTGAAGGAAGAAACAGAGGTTGGTGACAAATTGGTTATAATCACCAAGATTTCTCCTTCCCAGTCTCTAGGTAAGTCTTAGTCATCCTCTTTACTGAAATTATGCAGGGAATAAAAAAGTTCAGAGTGCCTGAGCTGGTAAGAACTTGGGACATTTAATTCATCTTTCCTTTTATAGTTGAAGAAAAGGAAGTCAGAAAAGTGAAATACTATGCTCAGGTCATGCCCCTAGCTCAGCAATTTTCAACATTGGTGTGCCAAAGAGGCACACTGGTGTGCTGCAAGAATTTTTAAAACATGTGATACCTAACTATTTAGTCAGGGGCACTGACCTCTTTTCCCTTAAATTAAAAATTAAAAATGACAACAGCCAACACAACAATAGCCGTCCAGTGTGAATAAATCAAAATTATACCAACTTCGTTTTGTCAGATCGGCAAAAAAATATATTTTTTGATGTGCCACAGAATTTTAGTAATTAGTTTATGTGTGCCATGAGATAAAAAAGTTTAAAAAAAGTCATTGCCCTAGCTAGTGGAGGAGCTTGGAATAGAACCAAGTCCTTTCCGGATTTCCAGAAAGACTGAATAACCTTACTGGTTTAATGATAACCTTTGTATTCTACTTTTTAAAAAAAGATACATTTAATTTCTACTCTTCACCCACTTAAAGTCTGAGGGGGAGGGAAAAGCAACAACAAAACAAACGAGGAAAATCATGTAAGAACGGAATAAAACACATAGATAGCAAAACAGATTCACAGAGCAACTGGGACACACAGATAAAAGAACACAGTGAAAGAGAGACAAGAAGAAAGTTTTTCCAGGTAAGTGCCTGGAGTGCAGGGTTATTAGCCCCATCTTGTGGCCTTTTTGGAGACTGCCTTTAAGGTTAGCTTTTGAACAGGTGACCATAACTTGAGACTTGATACCCTTTGGGTGGGTAGATCTGGAACAATGAGTCTCGAATTTTGGTGTGCCTGAGAATCACCTGGAGAGCACTTGAAATTCAGATTCCTGGGCCTGTCTCCCAGAGAGGCAAGTAGATTGAAGTGGGCCCAGGAACCTATGCTTTTAGAAAGTGCCCCAGGTAGGAGGACCACCAATCATGTATAAGAACTATTGCAGAAGGCAATGAGAATTTGTGGTATTCATCCCCTTGGCATTGTGGGGAGAGGATTATTCTGAGGAAAAGTTTGCAAGGAAATTGTCAAGAACTATAAAGGGTGGCAGATTTTGGCCTACTTGCCAAATTAATAAGTTAGCCTGCTAGTTTAATGAATGCTGGTAGATGAGACTCCAAGGCCAGAGGCAAAGGACAGTTTATTACCAACAGCAAGAGCAGTAACCAGATTATCATCATTTGGACCAGTTTCTTGAGCCTTAATTCCCACAAACCCATGTGATGAAGGCCACAGGAGGTTGCATTACAAAAGAGCTTAAAGACATAAGATGAGGGAACCAGGATACTTCATAGTGGAGAGAAAACCGCCAGACTTTTCTGGTGGGAGACACTATTTCTGCCTTCCAAGGCTGTTCACCATAGAAACATCCTTGGAAAGACAGTCCAAAAAAAGGCAGTCAGTGCCTCTGCTCCATAGAAAAACATGAGACATGTGGGAATTGCCTTCCAACAGAAACCGGGAATGGAAGTGTGTCAGAGGAAAGGAATCCTATGTCTGAAGGCTGTAAAGTGATCCAACTGAGGCAGGAATGGGAGATGGATTCAGGCCCCCTATTACAGGCTGAATTCTAGTTCCCAGAGCTAACTTTGCAGAAGTCCCTGCCCTGTTTTAATGGGTGCCTGCCTAATGTCATGAGCACTTCCCACACTTATTTCACTTTAATCCTCACATCTCCTGGCGATAAAGAGAGCTCAGCGTCACTTTACGCACCAGGAAATAGATTTTGAAAGATCGTGACTTGCCCACTTATCCAGTCAGGGAACAAGAATAGGGTCTTCTCTCACCTGTTTTCTCCTTACCCCATGGGGTAATAAGACTGGCCAAAATTAAGTAAACAACTACTGAAAGGGTGGGCACAGATCTTTGAAAGGACACTATCAATTCTAAGTGGAGAAAACACTAACCACGCTGTGAAGACCCCAGACGCTACGTCCGACCCCGGAGGTGGGGAGCTCTGGCTTTTCCTGTATCGCAGGCCTGACCTCTCAGGGACTGGTTAAGGAAGGGGCTTACAGACTTCATCTCCCATTTCAAATCGGAAGTGGGTTTCCAGTGACACGGAAGCCCTGCAGCACCGCTGAGGAGTTTATTCCTCGCTAAATCCAGAGAGCCCGGGCAGCACTGCGGGGGACATTGGAGCGGACCAACCCCGCCTCGCTCCGCCATGTTTTTTCGCCCCAACCGGAAGTGGGGCGGAGCCTCTGAGCATGCCCCGCACGATTGGCCGGCGCCACTGTCGCTCAGCACCTGGAGGGAAAGGGGTTGGGCCCCGCTAACCTAGGGATCCGGGGAGCCCTGAAGTGGATGGCAGGGGCGGGAGCGGAAGTTGCAGCGCCAGAGCAGGCTGTGGGTGCCATGGAGCCGGACCCCGCTTCGTCCCCCGGGCTTTCCCGCTCCATCAAAGAGGAGCTGCTGTGCGCCGTCTGCTACGACCCCTTCCGGGATGCCGTGACTCTGCGCTGCGGGCACAACTTCTGCCGCGAGTGTGTGAACCGCTGCTGGGAGGTGCAGGTGACGCCCACCTGCCCAGTGTGCAAGGACCGCGTGGCCCCCGCCGACCTGCGCACCAACCACACCCTCAACAACCTGGTGGAGAAGCTGCTGCGGGAGGAGGCCGAGGGCACGCGCTGGACAGGCCACCGCTCCCCACGCCTCTGCCGCCTGCACCGCACCCAGTTCAACCTCTTCTGCCTCGACGACAAGGAGCTGATGTGCTTCTCGTGCCAGGCCGACCCCCGGCACCAGGGACACCGCGTGCAGGCAGTGAAGGACACCGCCCACGACTTTCGGGTAAGCGCGGCTGTGTGAGGGAGGTGGCCCAGCGCGTGCGTGGTGGCGGGGTTAGGACTGGAACCCAGCACCCCAAACCCCGCTGCTCCTGCCACTCCACCCTGGCAGAGCTGAGTGTGGCCAGCCCTGCCCCTCTTCCTGCAGCCAACTTGCTGGTGTCGCCTTAGGACCCACCTTTTGTATGATTCCAGTAACCTATAGAGGCTGCCTTTTCATCAGAGCTGGCCCGAGGGGCCTGAGAAGAGAGGTAAACAGGAAAGTGTGCGAACTGGGCTTACGTGAGGTTCTCAAGACAACCCCACCCATGCACCCTTTCTGCCAGCGGGGTGTGGCCCATGCCTCTTTGACAAACACAGGTGTGGAGAAAGCTCAGGAAATCTGGAGCTTGGCACACTCAGGTTAGAGGTGCAGGATCCCAAGGCCTGGCCATAAATTAGGAGCCTTGAGATTCCCAATATTGGCACCTGCTTCCCCAGCTGGCCCATCTGTTGTGTAGCTGTGGGGAGGCCTCTGGCCCTGGCCAGCTGGTTTATTCTGGATCCCTTTCTCAGCATCCAATGCCTAGAGTGCCCATGGCTATAAATAAAGGCGCAACTTACAGGACAAAACTAACATAGGGAATATTTTGGTGTAGGAAAGAAAAACAATCAGAAAATAAGGATTAGCCAACTCAGGAGTTTTCAGATTTTTTTTTAATCTTAACCTAGGGGTGGGGAACCTTTTTTTCTGCCAAGGGCCATACAAAATTATCAACTTAAAAATTAGCCTGCTGTATTTGGTCAAACATTTAATTAACTAATGTGATGGCTGGAACTGCTTCTCATTGGTGAGGCCTTGGCAGGGCCAGACCAAATGGTACAGCCTGCAATCAGGGTGTTCCCCACCCCTGCCTTAACCCATAGTGAGAAATATTTTCTCCATTGTGACCCAGAACACTCATGTATGTATCAGTTGAAACAAAAGTTCTGTGAAAATGTTGATTGTACTCTGGCATTTTATGTTGTGTTTTTGCTTATTGTTTTCTTTTAAAAATTGCACAGGGTGTGAAACACCAATTTATTTCATCACCTATAATGTTTGGGTTAGACCCACATTTTGGAAAACAACAGTTAGGTGGTAGGAAGCTGAGTGTATTGAAAAGGAGGTGCTGCAAGAATCCCCCACTGCCTAGTCTACAGACACTGTTTAAATTAGCTTGTTTGTTTTAATGCCTTTCTTAAGAAATATCAAAAGTTGATTAAAATTTTATACACTTTTTTTACTTTTTAAAAAAAAACCTTTATTGTTAACAATATGACAGATGTTCCCCATTTTTCCCCCCATTGGCCCCCTCCACCCAGTTCCCGCCCCACCCCAGGCCTTCACCACACTATTGTCTGAGTCCATGGGCTATGCATTATAAGTTCTTTGATTAATCTCTTCCTGCCCCCCCCTTCCCTCTGAGATCAGTCAGTCTGTGCCATGCTGCCATGCCTCTGGGCCTGTTTTGTTCATCGGTTTATTTTGTTCATTAGATTCCACATATGAGTGAGATCCTGTGACACTTGTCTTTCTCTGACTGGCTTATTTCACTTAGCATATTACTGTCCAGGTCCCTCCAAGCTGTCTCAAAGGGTAAGAGATCCTCCCTTTTTTACAGCTGCATAGTATTCCACTGTACCACAGCTTTTTTAATTCACTCATCTATTGATGAGCACTTGGGCTGTTTCCAGATCTTAGCTGTTGTAAATAGTGCTGCTGTGAACATAGGGGTGCATATATTCTTTCTGATTGGTGTTTCAGGATTCTTAGGATATATTCCTAGAAATGGGATCACTAGGTCAAACACAGTTTCATTTTTAATTTTTTGAGGAAATGTTATACTGTTTTCCATAGTGGCTATACCAGTCTGCATTTCCACCAGCAGTATACCAGGGTTCCCTTTTCTCCACATCCTTGCCCACACTTGTTTGTTGATTTATTGATGGTAGCCATTCTGGCAGGTGTGAGGTGATACCTCATTGTGGTTTTAATTTGCATCTCTCTAATGATTAGTGACTATGAGTGCTTTTCCACGCCTCTTGGTCGTCTGTATGTCCTCTTTGGAGAAGTGTCTGATTCTTGTCCCACTACCTTTCTGACTAACTCTACTACCTCCATCTTATAAGGACCCTTGTGATTACATGGGGCCCTAGCAGACAATACAGGATTATCACCCCATCTTAAAATCTGGAATTTAATTACACCTTCAAAGTCCTTTTTGCCATATAAGGTAATATACTGACAGGTTCAGGGATTAGGACATGGACATCTCTGGGAGACCATTCTTCAGCTCATTATAGGTAGGTACTATTATTTTACAGACAGTGACACTGAGTCTCCGACAAATTAAGTAACCCATCCAGAGCCACAGAGCAGGTACTGTGGAGTTCACCTGGGCCTTATTCAGCCTCTACTCTGGTCATGGACTTTGAGAGAAGCTTCTCTGATCCCAGTATAAAACTTTCCCTGCTGGTCCTCTGTTCCAGGAGCTGTGAGGGCAGCTCACTGTGTGTGTGGGAACTTAGAGGCTTGAGGGGACAAGAGCCACTGTAAGTGGGCTTACTGAGTGCCTACTATCTGCCAGGTTTGGTATGTCTGCTAGAGGACAGGGCAGGCAGTCCTAGCCCCTGCCTTCTTGGAGTCCAATAGGCATGACTGAATAATAATCACACTATTGCTTGGTTTCAGACTGTGACATCCCTGTGCAGGACAGTATAAGGTGTGATGGGCTGTTGTTACAAGGAGGCCTGCTCTTGTTTGATGGCCATGGGAAAGAGTTTCTGAGGAAGTGATTTTGCAGCAACCCAGAGACATGCTGAATGAGGGTTGAGGGCATCCAGGACAGATCCTGCAGGGTACTGAAGGGCTTGTTAAAGATCTGGGATTTTGTCCGATGTGCCATGGAGCACAAAGGGAAGGACTGATGAGCTTTCAGAATGTGACAAAGTGTTTAAACCAGAGCTTTAAAGTGTGTGTTGGATCTTGAGGGGACCTTAGGAAATCCTCTAGTGTTTGTTTCTCAAACTTGAACAATGTACGCATTCTTCTTAAAGGAAAAAATATTCCAACAGTATGTCTTAACTTATATTCCTTATGTACAAGCACAAAACTCCTGTAAATTCCCCTTGCTTGTGCCACATGTAGATAATAAAACCAAAAGAAGTTTACAGATTAAGTACAAGCAAAACTAACATCAATACAATCCTAGTTAAAATATTAATTACAGGGTTGTATTTTGTTGGAACTAAAGTGCTGTTCCTGGGTGGCTGTGAGTTTCTCTGGCAGTATTTGTAAAACCCCTTTAACCTGTTCCAAGCTATGGCTTGATTCACCAGCCAAAATTTCCCTGTTTGAAGAACTGAAACTTTCCTAGGATGTAACTGGCCTTCATTTGGGTCTAGCACATCCTTCACCTGTGAAGTGTATTTCTGTTCTTTGCTAGGCAAAGACAACATAAGTAGTATAGCCTGGTGTCAAGGAAGTTGTTAAGAAAATACAAATGCTGGCCCTGAAGTTGTAGGAACTGAAAGTGTGCGTCAGCACTGTTTATGGGGTGATTCACAATAGACTTATCTTAATTGTTTTGTTTTTTAGGTTATCACTGAATAACATACTAATTTAAAACTCTCATGGAAAACTTGTAAATCCCAAATACTCAGATCCAGAACCATGGGGGACTGTAAGGAGATGATTGTATTTGACTAATGAGAAAACGGAAACTTGGAGAGAGACCACTAGCAACTCATGCTAGTCGCGGGGATTGAAAGTGGAACACCTAGGCTGGAACTCAAGTTTCCTGACTCCCAGTCTAGCCTTCATTCTGGTTTGCATCTCCAAAGCAAACCTGCCCTGAGCCTACACTAAGTCCCAGGTCTCTGAACTGCCTTGTCAAGACCCCTTTCATATCCATCCTATGGGACTGACCTGATGGCCATCCTCTACCCTCCAGCCCCTTTCTACCCCAGCCCTTTCCCCTTCCCCTTCTGGGGTTACCTTCTTAGAATCAGCCTGGCCAAATCTAACCTAGGAGTATTCCAGGCACTTCTTAAGTCTTCCGCCTTCCAATTATTTCCCTTTGTTTGCTAACTTCACCACCATCCCAGACCCCGTCCAACCCCCATGGGCCAGGCCCTACCAGATCCAAGTGGCACTGCAGGACATTCATTGTCTACCTGGCAAGGCATTTGCCCAGGGACAGAATGGGGACTTACTGAACACTGCTCACGGAGGCTCCAGAGTTACAGGGCCAGCACTAGGTGCATGGTAGACACCTGCTTCTTAAGGAGGGCTGAACACCATGAGAAAGGAAGAATGGGGGGACTGGGTTGCAGTTGGATAAGAAAGGGATCTGTTGTCTCAGATGCAGTTATGTTACCCATTTAGGATAAGAAGCCTGGAGAGGGTGCATGAAATGGGTGAAGGTGGCCCAAAGGTACAAACTTCCAGTTATAAAATAAATAAGTCATGAGTATGTAATGTACAGCGTAGTGGCTATTGTTAATAATACTGTAGAGCATATTTGAAAGTTACTAAGAGAGTAAATCTTAAAAGTTCTCATCACAGGGAAAAAAATTTGTAACTATGCATGGTGATAGATGTTAACTAGACTTAATGTGGAGATCATGTTGTAATATATGCAAATATCAAATCATCATGTTGTGTACCTGAAACTGATATAATTTTGTATGTCAATTATATCTCAGTTAATAAAAAAAGAAACCTGGAAAATAACCAGTAAGAGAAAGTTATCTGGCACTAAGTGGCAGTTAATAGTAATAAGAGCCAGCACATGCCAGGTGCACTCTTGTAAGCACTTGCATGGACTGACTTGTTGGATACTCACAGCCCTTTTACGAGCTAGGTAGTATTCTCATCCCAGAGATGCCAAGAAATTAAGGAACTTGCTCCAGATCACTCAGTAATAAGTGGAGGAGCTGGATTTGAACCTGGGTGGCCAGGTGTCATGCGAGAGCTCTTAGCTACTACATCAGTCTGCCTGAAATCAAATGTTTGAAATAGATAAGAAAAAAGACAGGAACTAGAGACAAATATTAGGAAATCCTGGCGATGGACCAGTAAGCGTGAACAGAGAAAACCACCCTCAGCATTTTCATGGGGAAATTTCGAGAGACCGTAGAGGTGGAGGCTCTTTTGCTCACTGCATATCCCCAGGTCTTAGCACAAAGTAGATGCTCAACTAACTACTTGTCCAGTCAGTGAGTACACTGAATATCCATGTTCTCTCCACTATGCCACATCACCTCCTGGACTGGAAGTTAGAAAAACTGATTTGTACCCTGTTTTTATCACTAACCACTGGTGAGAACTTCTCTCTCTGTGGCTGTCAGGCTCTTCAGCTTCAAGATGAGCAAGCCTTCACTCCTCCTGCAAAGGTTTATTGAGCACCACTGTGCTAGGTGCAAGGAAATGATGTTAGGACTTGCCCCCAGGAAGCCTGCAGCTGTTCCAGGAGAGTGAGGCGATTTATTCAGGCTAGTGAGTGGGGATGAAGAGGTATACTCGGGAGCTGTGAGAGCCCACGAAAATATACCTGAACTCTACTGGGAGATCAAGCTGGCTTCCTGGAGGAAATGAAGAGGCCTAGCTAATAAAGTAAATCAGGAATTATAAATAAAAGATATAAGGTTTGAAAAGAGGAAAACAACAGTGAAATAGGGTGTGTAGTGTTGTGGTTAAGAATGTTGCCTTCAGTGTTGGACAGAGTTCTGAGTACAATTCTGCTGGTTCTGCTAGTCTGTGTAATTTTGACAAGTTACTTAACTCCCCCAGGCCTTATTTTCCACTCTGCATAATAGGAATACAGGTGCTACGTTGTAGGGATGTAACATGCTCAATAATAACTACTTGCTAGCAATAATATAATTTTTGGTTGATCTCACCAGCTGAATTAAACCAGAATTGTCCAAGTGATTGCAAAGTTTGGGAAGGACAAGGGACTGTCACCCCCTCTTATCTTTCTTCATTGTCCCATAACTCCCTGTCAGGGTTGAAGGCCAGAGGATCAGGCTGTGTTATTTGGGGACCAGCACAACACTGGGTAAAGTGTGTGGGCGGCTGCTTCACTTCTGTCATTCATACTTATTTGACAAATCGTGGAGCTCTCCTCTTGGACTTTATTACATGGTTTTGTAACAGAAAGCTTGTCCCACAGAATAAAACAGGATGATATTTCAGTGGTCGTGTGGGACACGCATACTAATGTTATTTTGCTATTGAGGAGACACATCTTAGTGGTGATATACTACAAAAAACAATATTTTTTAAAATCTGTTAAATATTCTCAAGAAGAACATAAAAATGTCCAGAATGAGTAGAAAAGAAAAGAAAACCTACAGAAAATGAAATCAGTCATTATTGTGTTTTCTGTAGCATAGCAGTTAAAAGAATGGGCTGTGGAGTAGGATAGATGGCCTAGTAGTTATCTGTTGCTGTGTAACAAATTACCGCAAAACATAGTGGCTTAAAACAAAAAATATCTATTATCTCATGGTTTCTGTGGGTCAGAAATGTGAGCATGCCTCTGCCTCAGGGTCTCTCGTCATGCTGTTATCAAGGCATTGCCGGGGCTACGGTCTCAACTGAAGGCTCGAGTAGGCCAATATCCCAATTCAGGCTTGTTGGGGTGGTTGCTGGCAGGATTCAGGTCCTCACTGGCTGTTGGTTGGAAGCCACCTCAGTTCCTAGCTCCAGAGGCTGCTCCGTAGGCTAGATCAAGCAACAGAAGGTAAGGAAGGCTATGCACAGGCTTTTTGTCACCTCATCTCAGAAGTGATCTCTCATTACTTTTGCCATATTTGATTGGTTAGAATCACTAGGTCCAGTCCACAGGAGAGGGGATTCCACCAGGGCATAAATACCAGGGGGTGGAGGTCATTGGGGTCATTTTATAAGCTGCCTCCTTCATTCTGTCCTCTGGCCCCCAGTGATTCATATCCCTCCCATATGCAGAATACACTCACCCCTCTTAAGATCCCCATAGGTCTTAACTCATGATAGTATCAGCTCAAATTCCAGAATCGCATCATCCAAATTAGGTCCAGGTGGAGATGGGGCTTTTTGGCAGCTTAAAACAACTAACATCTCGCAGGAGTGAGGGATCACCGGGGCCGTCTTAGAGGCTGCCTACCACTGCTGTTTAGTTTCACATTCTTATTCTGCCACATACTAGCTGTGTGCTCTTGGACTAGTCAGTTCCCCTTTCTGTGCTTCAGTTGTTTTCATCTGTGAAATGGGACTAATAATATTACTTACCTAATAGGGATAATGTGATGATTAAGTGACATAATTTGTAAAGTAATTAACACAGCCTCTGGCAAATAGTAAATCTTCAAGAAATGGTAGTCATTTATAATTAATATCATTAGAATTGTTATTTTTTATTATTTTCCCAAAGAAAAAAACTTGAGCCCTGGGCAGGTGGCTCAGTTGGTCGAAGTGTTGTCCTATACACCAAAAGGTGGCAGGTTCAATTCCCAGTCAGGGCACATACTTGGGCTGCAGGTTCGATTCCCAGTTGGGGGCATAAAAGAGGCAACCAATTGGTGTTTCTCTCAAATTGATGTTTCTCTCTCTCTCTCTCTCTCTCTCTTTCTCTCTCTCTCTGAAATCAATGGAAACATATCCTCTGGTGAGGATTAAAAAATAAAAATTTTTTTAAAACTTGAAAAGCTTTCCCAGAATGTAGAGAAAAAAATAGAGAGAGAAAATGCTAGGCCTTGGATACAAAGGGTGGGAATTCAACCTTAAACTAGCCCCAGTTCTTCAAGGAGTCCAGGGAGATCAGAGCAGTGGGTAAAGTTTAAAAAACAAAAACTATTAAACAAAAAGGTATTTGAATCTGCTGATTAAAGTATCTCACATGATCCAAGCATGATTAGAATATTGGGATAAGGTTAGGATGTGGGGAGACATCGTTTAGATAAGGACCTGTGGGAATAACTGGATGAGCCTTGTTGTAATCAGACCTGTTAGTTAGTGACTGCAGGCCAGTCCAGTTTAGAAAGTCCCAAAGGGAGCCTGTGGGCACACTGACTTTACACTTATATAAACAGCTCAGGACTCACAGCCAAGCCTGGACCAGCTTTAGGCCTGAGCAGGATGCATCCCCTCTGTGCTGTATTGTGGCCAACTTGACTGGGAATATGCTTCTTGACCTCCTCAGCCCCGTCCGCCTGTCAGTAGCAGGAATAAAATAACAGGGTGTGGTTAGAGGGTATCTGAGGACCCTTTATATTGTAAACATCAGGTTCAAGGTCAGGGCCATGCTTCCTGCTGTCCCCTATAGTGCCTGGACAGACTGGGTTCAGTAATTGTGGTTGAGTTATATCCTCATGGAAGTGGAACTCCAGCTGTAAATGTGCCTGCCTGTCTGGCCTCCACCCCTAACCTGTCTCCTTGCCTCTCTCTCATTCCTCCCACCAGGCCAAGTGCAGGAACATGGAGCACTCGCTGCGGGAGAAAGCCAAGGCCTTCTGGGCCATGCGGCGCTCTTATGAGGCCATTGCCAAGCACAATCAGGTAAGTGAGTGCTCAGGCTGCATGGGAGACTGGGACCACCTAGGGTCATCCGGGGAATAGGTGAGGGTGGGCTGGCTGTGGCTGTTGACACAGAGTTGGCCTTCGCCAGCCCTGATAGTATAGCACAGCTATGCTCTCGGACACTGATTGTGGCTGTGCTGCCAGGGCCTCTTTAAATACCTGTGCATGGCCGTGCCAGCATCCTGCACTGTGGTTTCAGACTAACTTAAGCATATGCCACACTTCTCCATCTACTTGCGTACTCAAGCCAGTGATGACCTGGGCTCATTAGTTATTCCTCTTTCCCACTCACTCTCCATGTCCACTCCATCAGCAGTCCTGTCCCCTTTATCTCCAAAATACATCACGACCATCCTACACTCCATATCCACTGCCATCATCCCCGTCCAGGTCACCGTCTTTTCTCAGCTGCCCTCCTATCTGGACCCTATGCTTCTTTCCACTCTTGTTCTGCAGTCCACTCTGCAGAGAGTGGACTGCTCTTTTAGAAAAATGCATCAATCATGTCACTCCTCTGTTTATAACTGTCCAGTGGCTTCCATGATACACAGCACAATCCAGATTCCTCACCATGGCCTCCAAGGCCTTCATCCAACCTCTTCCTGTCTCTCAATTTTAACTCCTCCCATGCTGGGCTGTGTTCTCTGTTCCGGCCACACTGGCCTTCTTCCTGTTCCTTAAATGAGCTAAGTCTTCTGGCTATACTTTCCTGCCTGCTCTGTTTTTTTATCTTTCTGTATGATAAGAATCATCCCCGATTTCACTCTCCCTCCCACTATACATTCTCAGACTTTTTAGCTTGATATTTCAACAGTGCCATCTCTTCTCATTTGCATTTCTTTATTAGTTTGTACGTCCTTTCACAAGTATAATAGCCATTTGCATTTCTTCTGTGAATGCCCATTCATTCATTTTTTCTTAGAATATTTATCTTTTCTCCTTGTGAATTCATGAGAGCATTTTGTATATTAAGAATAATATATTCTTATATATATTCATATATGTGAAATATTTTTCCTACTCTGTCATTTCTTTTTCAATGAATCATTTTCACTTTTTTTGGTTATTTTCACTTTTCCAGTGAATCATTTTATCATCATATTGTCAGAGCCATAAACATGTTGAATTTTCAACCCAAAGACATAGATTACTATCCTGCCATTGCTAGAGCACACATTTTAAGGTGTTTTTCCGATAGTCATCATGAACTATACAATTTGTATATTTTAATAAATATGTATTTATCTTTATTAGCAGTCTTTTGCCATACAAAATTTCTTCTTTTTATATGTATTCAGTTACTTCATTCTTTCTTTGAGGCTTCTCAGTTTCACATTATAGTAAGAAAAGTCTTTCTCACTGCAAGATGAGAAATATTTTCCTGCCTTTTTTTTTAAGTACATTTGGGGTTTCAACTTTTTAAAACCTTTTTGTAGTTATAATTAAGAGTATGCATATTATTGCCCAGCCTGTGTGGTTCAGTGGTTAGAGCATTGGCCCGCGCACCAAAGGCTCTTGGGTTTGATTCCAGGTCAAGGGCATATATCTCAGTTGCAGGTTCATCTCTGGCCTTGGTTGGGTGCATGCAGGAGGCAACCAACCCATGTGTCTCTCTCACATAAATGTTTCTCTTCTCTCTCTCTCTCCTTCCTCCCTTCCTCTCTCTCCCTCCTCCCTCTTTCCCTCCCTCCCTTCCTGTCCCCTCCCTCTCTCCACTGCCTCTAAAATCAATGTAAAAACTACCCTTGAGTGAGAATTAATAACAATAGCAAAAATTTAAAGACTATGCATGTTATTAATGATTCTGGTATTGTTTATTGATTTTAGAGAGAGGAAGAGAGAGAAACATCAATTTGTTTTTCTTTTTATTTATATATTCATTGATTGATTCTTGTATGTGCCCTGATCAGGGATCAACCCTGCAACCTTGGTGTATCAGTACAATGCTGTAACCAACCAAGCTACCTGGCCAGGGTAATGGTTCCGTTTTAAAATAAATACTTCCTACTACTTTTTTGGTAAGCCTCTTGATCGAACAAATTTGAAGTCCTAAGATTAGACGGCAGTTAATTTTTTTACAATAGTTGCTGTTTGCATTGATTCTTTTCTGTGATTCAGGATTTATTTTGCTATTGTGCAACTTAAACAAGATACAGAATATTAACGAAGTTACAAGACCACAGTTGTCATATATAAGCAGTGATTTCAACTTTTAAAAAAATTAATCAGAAACAACGTCATTATACTGTTTGACTTATTTTAAATTTAAACTTGTAACTTGTGCTAAGAAAACTACATCTATTTTTTATCCATTTGGGTTCTACATATTGTTTCTTTGGAAAGTAGAATTCCTTCACTAAAAATCTGAGTCACTGGGCTAGGCGAAGGCTGAGGTCTGATCCCCGTGCCCTCCTTCCTGCTCTCTGCTGCAGGTAGAGGCTACCTGGCTGGAAAGGCGAATCCGGCAGGAGTTTGAAAAGCTTCGAGAGTTCTTAAGAGTGGAGGAGCAGGCCATCCTGGATGTCATGGCTGAGGAGGCGAGGCAGAAGCAGCTTCTGGTGGAGGAGAAGATGAAGGAGCTCAAGAAAGACACAGAGACTCTAGCCCACGAGATTGAGCGGCTGCAGATGGAGATGAAGGAAGATGATGTTTCTTTTCTCATGGTGAGGAGCTCATCAGCTTCATTCAGTGACAGGGACTAGATGTTCAGGAACCAGTACGGAGCCTGAGACCAGCAGCCCTAGGCAACGTAGTAGTCTTCCTGGGGTGAAGGAGCTTACAGACCACATCCTCTGCTTGGGTTAAGAGGCTAAAAAGATATTAATCAGAGTAGGAGTCCCTGAGGAACTGCCAGGCTGTTTTCCAAGAGACTACACCATTTTACATTCCCACTAGTAGTATATGAGGATTGCAGTTTTTCTCATCCTTGCCAACACTTATCTTTTTTATTATAGCCATCGTAATGGGTGTGAAGTGGTATCTCTTACGGTTTTTTAAAATATGTTTTTATTGATTTTAGGGAGAAGGGAAAGGAAAGGAGAGAGAGAGAAACAACAATGTGAGATTGGCTGCCTCCTGCACACCCCCTACTGGGAATCGAGTCCACAACCCAGGCATATGCCCTGACTGGGAATTGAACTGGTAACCTTTGGGTGTATGGGACAGTGTTCAACCAACTGAGCCACACCTCCAGGGCTCTCACGGTTTTTATTTGCATTTCTCTGATGGCTGGTGATACTGAACATCTTTTCATGTAGTTGTTGGTCATTTGTGTATCTTCTTTGGAGAAATGTACATTCAAGCCCTTTAACCATTTTAAAAATTGGATTATTTGTCTTTCTATTGTTGAGTTGTAAGATTTTTTATATATTATGGATACTGGACCTTTATCAACTATGTGATTTAAATATTTTCTTCCATTCTGTGAGTTACTTTTTCACTTTCTTGATGACATCATTTGAAACAAACGTTTTTCATTTTGATGAAGTGCTATTTATCTATGTTTTCTTTTTTTGCTTGTTAGTGCTTTTGGTGTCATATCTAAGAAACCATAGCCTAACCCAAGGTCATGAGCTTTATAGTTTTATCTCTATATTTAAGTCTTTGACCCATTTTGAGTTAATTTTCATATATGGTGTAAGATGGAAATCCAGCTTCATTCATTTGCATATGGATACCCAGTTGTCCCAGCACCATTTGTTTAGACCATCCTTTACCCATTGATTGGTCTTGGCACCCTTGTAGATAACCAATTGCATGTAAATATGATGGTTTATTTGTAGACTTTCAATGTCCACTGGTCCATATGTCTATCCTTACGTTAGTACCACGCTGACTTGTTTACTTTGCTTTTAATAAGTTTTAAAGTAGGAAAGTGTAAGCCACCAACTTTGTTCTTTTCCAAGATTGTTATGGTTATTTTGGGTCCCTTGAATTTTCATATGAATTTTAGGATCAGCTTGTCATTCTGCAAAGAAGCCAGCTGGAATATTAATAGAAATTACATTGAATCTTTAGATCAGTTTGGGGGGTTATGGCCATTTAATGCTATTAAGTCTTCTGATCCATGACCATGGGATATATGGCTCATTCTGGGGTCATAAACTTACGTGTTTTCTCTGTGTCTATATTTATGTCTGATTTTTTCTCTTTCAGAAACACAAGAGCCGAAAACGCCGGTAAGTTGCCAGTATTGATGGAGGGGAGGGAAAGAGCAGGCAGAAATACCTGGGGTGCAAACTCCAGTGGCTCCAGGGCCACGCAGGTTATAAAGCCAGCTGGATATATTACAGAGGGAATGGTGGGGACTGGCCAAGTGGAAAGAGCCCCCTTTCAGGGCATCCCACTGTTGCAGTGTTGTTTTCCTGAGTGTGGGGCATTACCATCCACTGGGTGGGGAGAGAGAGTCCATCCTGCACGTGGCTCATTGTTCTCAGTAGGTATCCAAACATTTAAGCTTGTTTCTCAGTCAGCCTCCTCCCTCTGAGAGCCTCCGAATATATACTAGTTTATGTTGATGATTGTACACAGGAATGAGTAAGGAAGAACTGTGTCTCAGTCAGAGCTGTACAAAGATGGAAGAGAGTGCTTCCCTGTCACTGTAGGTATTCAAGCAAAGGCCAATGACACCTTCATACTGTTGGACTAAAGGGCCCTTAAGGTACCTTTTGACTCAGACATCCTATGAGCAGATGTGTAAATGTGATTTCTGCCCACAAGGATGGGAGCCATGTCTGAGAACCTCCTATTTATATTTATCTCAGCTGGGGCAGGATGAATCCTAAAGCAGTATGAGCTATCCTGGCTCATCTCCCATCAGAGCCCAGTCTGGGTTTGTCCTGGGTGAGGTGGCAGGGAGTTTAGGTCTGTGACAAGGGAAGGAGTCCTATTGTTTGTTAGGTCCAGCTGACCCAGTTAAGCCTTGGATATGTGGCCCTCACCCTGCCCACCAGACCCAATTCTCCTTTCCCAGCCTCTTCTGCACCATGGAGCCAGATCCCATACAGCCTGGCATGCTGATCAACATTTGCAAGTACCTAGACTCCCTGCAGTACCGTGTCTGGAAGAAGATGGTCATGTCTGTTGAATCTGGTGAGTGGGCTCACAAGCAGGTGATACAAGCCGGGGGTGGGAGAGGCACTTCATGCAAAGCAGAGGGCCAGCTGAACTCACTTTCTCCAGCCTATTCAGACAGGGCCCTGGCACCCTGCTCCTCCACTTCTTGCCCCACTGCTCAAATGCCTCCTGGCAGAACTCCTTCCTTTTTGGGTCCTGACACTTCAGAAAAAGAAACTGACTTCTATTCAGAACTGTATTGTGTATATAATGAAAGACTTCCTCAGTTCAGGATTGCCTCTTTGAAGGGGATTCCAGCCCACACCTCACTGCATCATCTGCTATGGGCTGAATGTTTTATATCCCCACCCTACCCTGGTACATATATTGAAGTCCTAACCTTCAGTGTGATGGTATTTGAATACAGGGCCTTTGGGAGGTGAATAGGATCCAATAAGGACATAAGGGTGGGGCGTTATATTTAGATTCGGGTTCTTATAAGAGACACAAGAGAGCTGGCTTCCTCTCTCTCCGTCTTGTGAGGACACAGCAAGAAAGTAGCCATCTATAAACCAAAAAGAGGGCCCTCACCAGAACCTGGCCATGGGGGTACCCTAATCTCAGGACTTTCAGCCTCTAGAACTGTGAGAAATAAACTGTTGTGTAAGCCACCCAATCTATGGTACTCTTTTGTAACCACCCAAACTGACTGAGACCTCATGATTTTACAGGGAGAAATTTCAGTGACCCAGGGAATGTTCTCTGCTTTTCTAAAACAGCATGGGAGTTGTGTGAGCATCAGGATCCCTGCCTGTATTGATTGGCTTCCTGTGGCTGTCATACTCAGAGACTGCAAACTGGATGCCTTAAAATGACAAATTAATTCTCACACTGCCAGAGACTAGAAGTCCAAAATCAAGGTGTCGGCAGGGTCTTGTACTCTCTGAACTGTGTAGGGGAAGATCGTTCTTTGTCTCTTCCTAAATTCTGGTGTTTGCAGGCAATCCATGGTTGGGACTGCAGCACTTTTGTCTCCGCCTTTGTGGTTACATGACCTCTCCCCTCACTGTTGCTTCTCTTTTTGTAAGGACAACAGTCATTGCATTAAGGCCCCACTCTATTCCAGTCTCATTACATCTGAAACAAATAAGGTCACCTTCTGAGGTACTGGGGGTTAGGACTTCCACATACCTTTTTTGGTGAGGCAGGTTTCCACTCATAACACTGCCCCTCAGCCCAGGGCAGCTCCCTCCCTACACTGGGGCAGGTGGGACACCATTGGTCAGTCTGGGGGACTGGGGCATCAGCTGGCATGGCAGAAGGGCAGGATTTGAGTTTTGCTGATTTCACCCCACTATCCCTTTCTGCTCTCAGTGCCCTTCAGCTTTGATCCCAACACCGCAGCTGGCTGGCTATCTGTGTCCGATGACCTCACCAGTGTCACCAACCACGGCTACCGAGTGCAGGTGGAGAACCCTGAGCGCTTCTCCTCAGCACCCTGCCTGCTGGGCTCGCGCTCCTTCTCCCATGGCTCCCATGCATGGGAGGTGGACCTGGGGGCACTGCCCAGCTGGCGAGTGGGCGTGGTGCGCATGCGCCAGGACCCTGGTGCTGAGGGCTATTCTCACAGCTGCTACCAGGACACTCGCTCTGGCTTCTGGTACCTGTGCCGCACGCAGGGAGTGGAGGGCGACCACTGCGTTACCTCAGACCCGGCCACATCACCACTAGTCCCCTCCATCCCACGCCGCCTGCGTGTGGAGCTGGAATGTGAGGAGGGCGAGCTGTCCTTCTATGATGCTGAACGCCACTGCCACCTCTATACCTTCCATGCCCGCTTTGGGGAGGTGCGGCCCTACTTCTACCTGGGGGGCACACGAGGAAATGGGCCTCCTGAGCCTCTGCGCATCTGCCCCCTGCGCATCACTGTCAAGAAGGAGCTGGATGACTGAGGCTGCCCGGGAGCCTGCCAGATGCTGCCCAGGTGTTATGCCATGGCCCTGCTTTCTTTCTGTTCCTCTTTCTAAAGCCCACACTCACCTGGACACCTCTACCTCCTGGCTTTCTTGCCAGGATCTTGCTACTGAGTAATCCTTCTCCAGGGCTCCAGGCCCCAAACTTTCCTCTTCATATTTGCTCTTTTCTGTACCCACAGTTGAAAGTCATCCAGGAGATAGCTTGCTGGCCAGGCTCTCCCCAGAGTCATGGCATCTTCAGGATGTGATTTTCCTTAATCCTAACTCCAGGATTTCTGGAGATGTTTGCTTTTAGAGTAAGACCTGTTTTAATTAAAACATTTTAAATATAGGTTTTATTATTCAGGTATGGTGAGGCCAACAGATCAGGAGTCAACTGCCATTGAAAAGAGTTTGTTACTCCCAGTTCCCAAGAGGAGGAGTGGTGCTATGGGGGGGGGGCACACAGGGATGCACCAGATCCCCTAAGAGGCAAAGGGAATGACGGGGGAGCATAGGCAGGAGACTAGTGGTTTTCATAGGAAGGAACAGATGAGGCAGATACAGGTGGACAGATTTAGGATTGGCTAGTTTAACAGCCCTGGGAGGAGCAATTCCTCATGGTCAGTGAGCTCCAGATTTCAGAGTATCAACAATACAGACTTGGGGGGGAGGGGCAGATTAACTGGGGAACTTATATGCATATATGCATAACCCATGGACACAGTAGTAGTGTGGTGAAGGCCTGCAGGGGGGAGGGGTCAATGGGGGGAAAAGGAGCATCTGTGATAATTTCAACAATAAAGATAAATTTTCAGAAAGAACACAGAAAATAATAAAATATAGTTAATACAGGGCCATGGCATGGCTTTAGGGCAGGACCAGGGCTTAGTTTATCTGTCACTTTAAACCAGTATTTTTAAACTGCCTCACGGAGCCTCCCTGGGGCTCCTCAAGGCTTGAGGCAAGGCTGCCCATCAGATCAACACTGATTTATCTCTTTACACTTCTTGGATGATTTCCTCTGAAAAGAGGGTTCCAGAGTACTTAAAAAAACACAATTTTAAAACCATGGTTTAGACCAGTTCCCTCTCCGGTCCTTGGTTTCCTCATCTGTAGATAAAACGGCAGGACTGGAACGCTGTGGCTGTACTTCCGTAATTGCTGGGGGGAATCCCTCTGGCCGCTGGTACAAAGGTATGAGGAGGGAAGGCAGAAGGATGCAGCCTGCGGGCGCGCAGGGAGTTGGGAGGGAGGGAGGTGCCTCTTGACTTTGCTGTCCCCAGCCTGCTCACTCTTGCTCTGCTGCCTTTTGCATTTTTATCCCCATTTCTTCTTCCTCTGCCCTGCTTGCCAGACTTGTTCCTCCACCTTTTTTCTCTCACGCATGCCTACAGGTAGTTTTTAATGGTCAAATCATCATGTCCTGGGGACAGCGTTGTAAAAGGAAATTTTTTTTATAGTTAGCAATGTTCTCACTGGGGGAGCACATTCCTGACCCGGGATTCACATTCTTTTTCCTGCCTCCACCGCCAGTTCACAGAAACTGACATTTTATACAGAAATGACTCACAACTATAAATCGGTTATAAATGTGGTGTGTGCTTTGGTAGGGGCCATGGGAGGGATGGGGTAGGAAATGCCACAGTGTAAAGGCAGCCAGTTTGGGAGTGTGAGGATGCTGGCAAACCTGTGAGCTGGCCCCTCTAAAGGCGCTCGGACTTACAAAAGCTCAAGGCACTTCAATACCAAGCACGTGAGGTCAGTGTGCACTCTGAAGTATTTGTCTAGCCCCCATATACTTATCTTGACCAGAAGTTATTGTGTTGGTTATAATAAACTTTTTTAAATGTTTGTTTATTTCCACCTTAGATGTTGGAAGAGTTGTTTGTTTGGTTTTTAACAGGGTAATTTGGATAGCTTAGATTCCTTTTTACAAAAATAAAAATACTTGAACTAAACCCCCCTTTTTTTGACATTTTCTTTTTAGCTTTCTCATAAGTAAAAGTTCATCCATGTTGTAGAATGAATTTGACTTGATTCCTTTCTATTACTGGATGATATACTGTTGTATGCATGGACTGCATTCTACTTACGCATTCAGTTGGTGGACATTTAGATCATTTCCACTTTTTTGGCCGTGATGAATAATGCTGCTATGAATATTTGTGTACAAGTTTTTGTATGGGCAGATGTTTTCTGTTCTCTTGGGTATATACCTACGAGTAGATTGGCTGGATCACGTGGTGACTGTGATTAACCTTTTCAAGGGACTGCCAGGCTGTTTTCCAACGTGGCTGCACCGTGTTATGTTCTTACAAGCCGTGAATGAGGGTTTTGACTGCAGCCTTTCCTCGTTCACACTGGTTGTTGTGTGTCTTTTAACTTAGCCATCCTATGGGGGTGAATTGATATCCCATTGCAGTTCCAATTTGCATTTTCCTGATGCCTAATGATATTTAGTGTATTTTCATGTGTTTGTCACTTGCATATCTTTTCAGGAGAATCGACTTCAGATCCTTTGCCCATTTTTAATTAGGTTATTTGTATTTTTAATTATTGAATTTTAAGAGTTCTTTATACATTCTAGATACAAGTTCCATACCAAATTCAGGATTTACAAAAATTTTCTCCCAGTCCATGGGTTCTTTTCACTTTCTCAAAGATGTACATTGAAGCACAAAAGTTTTAAATTTTGATGATGTCCAGTTTGTTTATTTTTTCCTTAATTGTTTGTGTCTCCCAGAACTCTCACCTTTGACACTGCCCTTAAACTCATATATTCCAAGTTCTGGATTTTGGCTTGGGCAAGGGACAGTTGTCCTGTGGACAGGGAGCCCTAGTCCAAGAGTCTCTTTCTTCCCTTGAACCCTGTCCTGTCCTCATCTTCCACTCTCACTTGTCCCTATTTCACTCTCCTGCTCATCACTACATTCAGCTGAAGACAGCAGCCCACCGGGCAGCCTCTCCTCTAGCTTCTCCCACCTTCAGTCCATCCCGTATGCTGCTGCCAGACATACTAGCCTTCAGTCTCACCTGTCACCCAATAGTGACCTCCACCCCTACCTTCCCAGGACAGTTAGTTCCTCAGGGCAGCGCTTGGAGCTCATCTCCCTCCCCCTTCACACACACCCCTGCCAGCCGGGCTTCTCATGACCCTTCAGACCCAGCTGCCTGGCTTCCCTCTTACCGCTGGCTATTTGAATTGGAATGTCCTGACATCTGTTCCTCTGTTTATTCTGGTTATAATGGCCTCACTACTTACTTGCTGTGTCTCCCCGGGTACACGGTTTACTTTCCTGAGTTCATGTCCCCATCTGTCAAAATGGAGCCAAGGCCCCTGTAAAGGTCTGATGCAGCAGCGTGCCTGCACAGTTGCTGTCCCACATGAGAGCACTTGACAGTGGCAGCCATTGGAAGTGGGCAAAGGAGATCACATAAGTTTCCCTCGTCGACCTCCCTGGCTGCCCGTCACTCCCACATCAGCCACCAGTTATTTTTGGTTAGAAATAAGTATACTGTGGCATCTTCCTTGCTTCCTCCTGCTTGTGGAGGACATTTCTCGCAATAGTTTGTTGATCAGAATAGTGGAACTCTCTCAACCCCCGTGGCTAGTGGAGTGTCAGTGCCAGGATCTTCTGCACAGAGTGACTGTGCCATCCTGGAATTTCACCAGCTCCTACCTACCTTTGCCACCATTCTCTACACAGACTCTGCCCAGCCTTTCATAGGCCCAGGCACATGCCCATCCCGGGGAGCTGCCTCTGTAGCTTCCGCCTACAGGGCCTGTTGCCCTCCCTTCAGTTGTTCTTGACTCAGTGGTGCCTTCCGAGACCCGCCTGGGGCTCTCTTGGCCGCCACTGCACGTTGTCCATCCTGCTGGAAGGGTGCTTGGTGGCAGAGCTGCCTTTGCTGCCCCCTCCGCATGGAGACTTGAGTGCAGGAAGCATACCATCTTCACCTTTCTACTGCTCAGTCCAGGTACACTGCTGGTGCATAACAAATGATTAGTGAATGTGTATGCTGGAGGTCAGGGAAGCTGTCCCTAAAATTCCACAAAACTGGCAGCATCTTCAGTAGGAATGTGGCCTGGAGCCTGAGATCCAGGTTCCTGGTTCCAAATACCAACTATTTATGAGCTGCCTGAACCTTATGAACCTCTACTCTCATCTAAAACAAGGATTACAATTAATGCCTCAGGCTGTTTTGGGGATTAAATCAGGTAATTTCTTAGTACAAACACCATGTGTTATATCCTAAACATAGTATAGACTTAATACATGCTGAATAATTCTTTGGAAAGTGGGCGGTTCTGAGTATTGATTTTATGATTCACATTAAGAATCCCAAAGGAAATTGAGAAATGTAAGTTATCTGTATTAGGAGTGCCCAATTTTCTTGAGATTTTTAACAAGGATGTGTACATAAAATTTATGTTTATGAAAAATTTCAATAACATGGGAAATGGTTATGTCATAATAACCAAGAAAAACAGGATTCAGAGTTACACATACATACATGCAACACACACAAAAAAACAAGCGGGGGCCCTGACCAGTGTGGCTGGGTTGGGGCGTTGTCCTGTGCACCAAAGGGTCATGGGTTCAATTCCTTGTCAGAGCACATACCCAAGTTGTGGGTTCGATCCCCAGTCAGGGTATGTACAGGAGGCAACCAATGGATGTTTCTCTTTCACATTGATGTTTCTCTTTTCTCTCTCCCTTTCCCTTCCACTCTAAAATCAATAAAAGCATATCCTTGGGTGAGGATTTTTTTAAAAAGACAAGCAGCATCTTGTCTCTAATTTTTGTGTATTGTTTGATTAGATGATCCATTTGCATGACTAAATTCCAAAGGCACAGGAAGTACTAGAACAGTCTCCCACTTTTTCCCACTCCACTCCCTTCCTTGTGGACAATCATATTACCATTTTTATAAATCCTTCCAGAGATATTCTATGTACAGCAATATTCTGTTGATGACTACATCTGCTTCTCCCAATACACTATAATTTAAGAGCAGATACTCTAGATCTGTATCTAAGCAACCCAACAAGAGGAGAAAAAGAAAGGCTATTATTAAAATAATTTTCTCCCCTCAAAGGGGAGGTTTGTCATGGGTGTTTTCATTGCAGTCAGTTCAACTGGTGGATTCAGCTTTTTGTTCTTGTTTAAATATTTCACCCTGGGGTTTTAAAACGGGGGGAAACTAAGTGGAAGTTAGTTGCTCCTGACACTAGAAGATAAACCTTAAACCTGAGACCTCAACATACACTTCAAAAATCTCAGTCCTCACGAAAGTATCTAGTGACAAATAGCCTAGTGGTTAAGAGGTTGGGATATGGGATTAGACAAGCTGGGTTCACTCAACCACTATGTAACCTTGGGAGAGTTACCCTCTCAGTGCGTTAGTTTCATCATGTGGAAGATGGAGATAATACCTTAAGATTAATGGAGGTAACTTACCTCATAAGCAAATGTGTGAAACAGAATAGGGTCTGGTACATACTTGGCAGTTTGTGAGTCTACTATCGTTACCTGGCCCTGCTACTAGATAGCTGTGAGACTTTAGATAAACTGTAAGCAGGGAAACTAGGACACTTGCATATTTTTTTCAATGTCTTTTCCAATTCTAAAGTCCTGTGACCCACAATCTATGTCACTAGCAAAAGCCTAGTTTCTTACATGCAGCAGGGACTGCTGCTGACCAGTATTCAATAACCTTGGTGTGGTGC